TCCACTGCAACTTGTGTTTTTAAATGAAAAATGTACTCTGTGTGATTGGCTTTCCGCCCTTTGTATTAAACTATGCATACATACATGATGCTGTTTTGTTTATAGTTGTTTAAGCAACTTAATGATAATTGGTTTATAAACATTATTTGAAACATTATGCACTTTTTTCGCATAGTCATGTTATCTTATGCTTTGAATGATGCGCCCTCTTGTGGCCTCAGGAGAGAAGCCAAAAGCTTTTCTTCACCCTAACTGAAATTATGCATTTTAAATTCGAATATAATTCGAATTTTGATAATATTTAAGTACAAAATTCGAATTTAGTTTTTCAGCAATTTTGACAGCCCTAATGGTTATTTGTATGCATGTATGTATCAAGAGCTCCTGTAATACCACAACAAATTCCTTGTGTTTGCGCACACTTAAGTGGTGAATAAAGCTACTTCTGATTCTAATATAACTAGCATACATGTTTCACTTTTTGTGAGAAGAAAGCACCCCTACAACAACTTCTGAAAGTGAACAGCATGCGTTTTACTCTAGCATTACATAAAAATGTCACTTTAACATTAGTGTAATCATTTTAACAAGTTTAGGAACTGAATAATAAAAAGTAAAAATACAACACTGCTTAGTATTTACTCTATGAATTCAATATGCACTGATTCTTATTTAAGCTATAAAAGTTATTTAGGTAAGAGCAGCGAGTTATTTTCTCTTTGTCTTTTGTTCATGGCCCCATATATTGCAAGCCGTAGCGATATACATATTGCGATATTTCGATATATTGCACAGCCCTACTGTTCACTAAGAGCAGTGAGCATCTGCTACACCAAAGGAATATACATACTAGTCTTACAAGCTAGACACCTAAAGGCTGGAATACACTTCCTGATTTTTGCCCAGATTTTCCGCTGATTGTCGACGCGCTATTTGCCAAAAGTCAGAACCAGTCTCCAGATTTGAGTTGACAGATTTAATAGAAAATCGCGTAGTGTATAATGTTCACAGACTCCATCAAGTCGGAGGGTTAGGCACATGTTTCTGCATGAGTTTGTTGTGATCCTCAGTCGTTTAGTGTATGATGGGCAGGTTTCCTCTGTCACTATTACAAAGTCAGTAAGTGTATGATGCCTAGTGTTTTGAAATCTGTTCAGATTTTAAAAGTCATGTAGTGTATTCCAGCCTTAATGTATTTCTTTAAGAATTGTAATAACTTATTTAAGTCAGTCACATAAAAACACAGATTGGTCTAATTTGAACGCAAAAAAAGAAGTTGGATTATCTCTTGGCTAACTGCTAGCTCGTCAGACTATTTCTTAAAGTGTCAGTTCACCCAAAAATGAAAACTCTTGTCATCATTTAGCCTACTCATCAAGTGGTTCAAAACCTGTGAGTTTCTTTCTTCCGGTGAACACAAAAGAAGATTGTGACGAGTGGGGCGGGGCCGAGAGCCGTGCCCCACTCGTCACAAAGATATTTCGAAAAATGTAGGTAGCCAAACAGTTCCTGGTAGCCATTAACTTCCATAGAAAAACAAAACAAAAACAAAAACAATGGAAGTCAGTGAGGACTAGTGTCAGGGATAACGCATTTCAAGTAACACAAGTTACATAATCAGATTACTTTTTTCAAGTAACTAGTAAAGTAACGCATTACTTTTTAATTTAAGAGAAAATCTGAGTTACTTTTTCAAATAATTAACGCCAGTTACTTTGTTTTCCCATGTATTGACTGACAGCTCTCCTGTCCCCATGTTGAGAGCAATCGTGTGTGAACATGATGTTACTGTAGTTCTAGACTAAATGTGAACATGCATTTACTCATCTCACCTGCACAAAAACAGATTCACTATTCCTCAAAATTAATAACAACAGTCAAATGCAAACTAGGCATGGGACGATAACCGGTTTCAAGGTATACTGCGGTTTGGAAAAGTCACGGTTTCAAAACCACTAAAATTTTTCGTTATACCGTTCCTGCGGTATGCACAGTTTTTTTACGTGTCGTCAAAGATGGAAAGTGCAGGACTCCCTCGGTTGTGTTCAGCGAAGATCGTAACGAGTCACACGACCCCTCCCCCTCCGGTTGGTGCGAGCGGAGTCACCTGTGTGTAGGATGGCCGAAGGAGATGAATCCCTGGATTTTTTTCCCCCGTCGAAAAAGACGAAGTCTGTCGTATGGGAATTTTTCGGGTAACGTAGACTTAACCATGTTCCGTACACAACGATGTTCCGTACAGATGACGTTTTAGCGCCGATCGCTAAATAAATACTTCCAAGTCGAACATAAACTATATATCTGTGTCATCTTCGGTTTTCTCCCTCTTTCACCCCCGATCAAGACCCACCCTCCGTTTGTTTCAGTGTTGAAATAAATACTATTTGGCTTGCTACCGAGGCAGATAACATGGCTAATTAACTAGCTAACGTCAACTAGTTTCCTCCCTCACGTTACTTCACAGAGTGAGGAATAGCAGACTAAAGTACTAAGTTTCTGCGATTTAGTACAATAAAGCTGGTATCACGTCTATACTTTTAAGCCTCCTGCCATTGTTTACATCTGTTCAAAATCACGCATTAAAAAAAAA